AACTCAACTCCTACCTCGGGCAGCTCACCTATCCCCCTATGCCCAGGGGAAAGGTATAAGCCGTTTGACAGCTGATGCAGGCTGTCAAAACGGCTTTTACGCGGAAACAGGCGGGAGCAGCAAACAGCTGCGTCCAGCGAAGTCGCCTGCCACCGGAAGCCCCCGATATCCCTCTTTATTGAACATGGAACATAAGAATCTTGAATTGAGAGATATCACTTATAAAGGCAGACTCTCTGTTTTTGGGTACCCATTCAGCAATATTCCAGAAAAGCAAGGACAGTATTCTAATGGGGAACTTCCTTGTTTGTTGACTGAAGGGGTAGCTGGTGGTGTGTTGAGGTGTATGACTGGCTGATATGGCCCATGTAGTCACACTTGGGTTGAAACGAAATCCAAAATCCCTTCGGTGTCTAGGAAGACATTCTTATACTGCTACATGGAGTCAAATAATTTTAGTGTTTATACTTAATGTGGTGGACATTTTGAGATTGTTGTTTCGTTTTGGCATGACTTGGTGCGGGGATCGATTCTACTCCTGGTGCTGGTGTCTTTTCTCTGTCGGAGGCTGCCACTGTTGTAATTTCATATGATACATGGAGCAAAGATTTGCCTTGGAGGTTAAAGGGTATGGCAGTTATTGGATGTGTTGTTGTCACAAAAGTCCATGTTATATTACTGGAGCAGGCCACTGCCTGGCTCAGATTGTAGTTCCCGTGTCTTTAAGTGGTCAAAGTAGCATTTGGTTTATTATTCTTGGAAATTTCTGCATGTTACAGTTCTTTGATGGGGCAGGATGGAGGGATTTGAATCTGCTCCAGGGGAACCTATATTGAGGGTATGGGATCTGGATTTCCCTGGTCAGAGGAATGGACTGCCATAGTCTGGCAGCTGTCTTGGGTAGTTGGTGAAATCAGGTCAATTGAAGCTCTGGCTGCTTTATGTGTGGCCACTAAAGTTTCTCTCAAGCTGTCCAGTCTTTGGACTGGCAGGGCACTGAAAGAGTTAATCAGATTTTTTTCCCAGAGGGTTGTCTGTGCAGTGTCTTGTTTTTCACAGTTATCTCTCTGGGAGCTGAGTTAATAAGGTGACTAAAATCTAAAATCGGACAGTCATGTTTATTCTTTTTAAAGTGGCAGTAGATATGGGCCAGACTGGCTTAGGAGTAGGCTGAGTTCTTCTGAGCAGAATGCTCAGAGTAGAAAGATTGAAAAGTTATAAAGAAAAGGCCTCATTTTGAACAATATTGTAGGAATTTTAGGCTACTTCAAGGTGAGTAGAATTCTGTCTCCGTCTCTGTTAGATGGAAGACACTCAGCTGCTTCTTGCAGTGTAGTAACTGGTTAGAGATAAGAAAATTGCTCTTTTTGTTTCTCATTGACCTTTGTAAGTTAAGATCACTTCCTGCAGTTTGATGTTTTTTTCACTAGCCATTTTTCTTTTCCTTTGAAGGTAATAATGGGCAGGAGAATCAAGGTTCCTGTGAACTGTTCCAAGTGATTAATGCTGGAGATGGAATGCAGAACTTTGCAATTCAGAAAAAAGGAGAAAGACTTGAAAGAAACCAGCTAAATAATTGGAATCAGGAAAGCACATCTTCCATTGATGCTTCAATGCAAGACTTTTTTGCCCAACAAGGGAATATAAAGAAATATATTAGAAATAGCGTGAAACTAATCAAAGCTAAATTACACGTCGATGAACACCCTCCAGTCCAAAAGAAACAAGATGATGTAAACAGACTCAATGGAAAAAATTACAATGGGTTTTTCACTCTTCCCCTTGGAGATAGGTCCCTTTTATCACAAAAAGGGATCCACATAGAAGAGAAGCCTTATGAATGTGTGGAATGTGGAAAAAGTTTCAGAACAAGCAATCAACTTACTTTCCATAAAATGATCCACACAGGACAGAAGCCATATAAATACATAAAATTTGGAAAGACTTTTGCTCACAAGAGTAAATTTACCATCCATAAAAGGATCTACACTGGGGGAAAGCAATATAAATATTTGGAGTATGGAAAGACCTTCGCTCAGAGGGGTGGTCTTATTTCCCATAAAAGGATCCACACAGGGGAGAAGCCATTTAAATGCATGGAGTGTGGAAAGATCTTTGCTCATAGCTGTCATCTTAATTACCAAAGCAAGATCCACACGGGGAAGAAGCCATATAAATGCATGGACTGTGGAAAGACCTTTGCTCACAGACGTATTCTTATTTCCCATAAAAGGATCCACTCGGGGGAGAATTCATACAATTGCAAGGTGTGTGGAAAGACCTTTACTCGTAGAAGTGAACTTACTAATCACAATAGGAGCCACACGGGGGAAAAGCTACATAGTTGCAAGGAAGGTGGAAAGTGGATCAGAAGAAAATCTTCGCTTATTCTCCATGAAATGATCCACACCAGGCCAAAGGCATTTATATGTCTGCAGTGCGGAAAGGCCTTTCGGACGAATTATCAACTTACCCTCCATAAAAGGATCCACACAGGAGAGAAGCCATACAAATGCTTGGAGTGTGGAAAGACCTTTGCTCAGAGCACTCATCTTAATTCCCATAAGAAGATCCACACAGGGGAGAAGCCTTATAAATGCATGGACTGTGGGAAGGCCTTTCCTACGAGGACTAAACTTACAATCCATAAAAAGATCCACACGGGGGAGAAACCACATAAATGCATGGAGTGTGGGAAGGCCTTTGCTGAGAGGAATTATCTTAATTCCCATAAAAGTATCCACACAGGGGAGAAACCACATAAATGCATGGAGTGTGGGAAGGCCTTTGCGTATAGAAGTGGACTTACTAAACATAATTGGATTCACACAGAGGAGTTGCGATATAAATGCATGGAGTGTGGAAAGAACTTTGCTTATAGAAGTGAACTTACTAAACATAATTGGATCCATACAGGGGAGAAGCCATATAAATGCTTGGAGTGTGGGAAGAGCTTCACTCGGAGGGGTTATCTTACTTCCCATAAAAGGATTCACACGGGAAATGGCATATAAATGTTTGAAATGTTGGAAGGGTTTCTACAAAACTCGATCACCTGTTACATAAAACAATCCACCCAGTGGAAAAGCCTTATAAAAGTTTGTGTGTGTAATGATTTAGTGAAGGGAAAAAAAATATTGGGCCAAACCCTCACAAGTATAGGTTCTCCTGCTTGAGTAGGAAGCTGGACTAGAAGATTTCCAACGTCCCTTCCAGCTCTATTCTAAGTGGCAGCCTGAAATGACTAGTAAAAAAACAAAAAAAACATGTTTTATTTATGAACCCCAGATTTTTGAAGTTACTGTCATTTGAATATGAGCAATGCTATTTGCACATGAATGAAAATCTTTTTCTTAACTTTTTTATTGCAGCTTCCATTTGGGGGTCAATGCCAACACAATGGAATTGTCTGATCTCACTATGAAATTTCATGGGAGTATGCCCTCTATTGGATTTTTGCAAGTGAGCTCGTTTCTCACAAATTGTTTCTTGATTCTGCTGTCAATTGGCAGATGTTTAACATGCTGCTTCACTAGCCAGAAGGAACTCCGTCTCTATTACTCAAGGCCACTTCCCATAAATTTACTTTCTTTTCCCTATTCTTATTCTAATTTTTTTCTCGTCCCTCTCCTCCCTTAATATACTCATAGTTTATCACAGGACCCTACGGTTTTCTATAATAACAAATGAATCTAACAGTAAAACCCAAATCCCCCCCTTTTTTTTAGTCATTAAGTTTTTGACACCTTGCTAACTACTGGTGGTACTCGAATATTCTCTTTTGTGTGTCTGTGTGTGTATAGAGAGAGACAGAGACAATGATAGACAAATGTGGGGAAAAGAGCTTATTGTTTTTACAGAAACTGTAGAAGACAGGCTAGCCTGTGAAACAAATACATTGTATATATTTTAACCTCATTAACCTAGCTTGAAGCTTGAGAATTCTATCTAGGAAGGTATCTGCTACGCTGAAAACCGGTCCTAACCAGAACTTACTGATATGATAATTTTAAAGACAACCCCTAGGAACTAACAGCCATAAAAGAAAGTTCATAAATAAGGAGGGAGCGATAAAATTAGAGTAGTGGGGGATGTAATTGGGGCAGAGATAATGTATTCACTTTAGAAGCTTTTGATAGGTTGTGACGAAATAGAATAGAATAGAGAATAGAGCTGGAAGGGACCTTGGAGATCTTCTAGACCAGCCCCTTGCTAGTAGGACAACCTATACCGTCTCAGACAGTTGAATGTCCAGTCTCCTCTTAAAAATCTCCAGTGATGGAGCACCCACGATTTCTGGGGGTAAGCTGTTCCACTGGTTGATTGTCCTCACTGTCAGAAAGTTTCTCCTTAATTCCAGGTTGTTTCTCTCTTTAATCAGTTTCCAACCGTTGTTTCTCGTCCTTCCCTCTGGTGCTTTGGTGAACAATCTGCCCCCCTCTGCCTTGTGGCAGCCCCTCAGATACTGGAACACTGCTATCATGTCTCCCCTATTTCTTCTTTTCCTTAGACTAGCCAGACCCAAATCCCGTAGCCGTTCTTCGTATGTTTTAGTCTCCAGGCTTTGATCATCTTTGATTACAGTATGATTGCTAAGCCAATGAAGAAAAGGTGGGAGGTAAATTTGTAATGGCAATGGAGAATATAAAGAATGAATAGTGTAGATTTGGGGTGTATCCACTGTGTGCTTGCATGCACAAGGAGCACCCCCTTTGCAAAGGAGTACAAATAAATTACCATGGTTTTCTCTTGGAAGTTTTGGCTTGTGATTTTTATTTCAACTAGATAACACACACATGTTTATGTGCAAGCAGCTTTGTAGGTGCTTTAAAAGCAAATGTTTCATCTTTAGGTACAGGTGATTGCTTACATCAGTGGTTCTCAACCTGTGAGTCGGGACCCCATTTGGGGTCGATCGACCATTTCACGGGGGTCGCCAAACAAGGCTGGCTGCCATTTTTTTTGTCCGCCATTTTTTCCCCCTTTTCCGGCGGGTGCCTTACCTCCCTTGGGCTGGGCCAGCTGGTGATCGGCCTGCTCCGTCTCTGCCGCTTGCCAGCTACGCCTCGGCCGGCGCAGGGGGCAGAACCACGCATGCGCGGCGCTCCTGGGCAGGGAAAGTCCTCGACTTACGACCGGTTGGGTAGTCCTCGACTTACGACCGGTTTAGTCCTCGACTTACGACTGGTTGGGGTTGCGGCATTAAAAAGGTTGAGAACCACTGGCTTACAGGAAAAGAGCACAGTAAGGGGAGGGGGGAAAGGAATTAAGGATGGAGCCTGGGTTGCTGTGTATGAGTCATCATCTTGGAATTGCCTGGTACCAAGACCTGATCTTTTTGTCCTTAAAAAGTATAAAAGGTGGAAGACATCTTTCCTTTGTTGTTGCCTTCATCTCTACCAGCCACAAAGAGAGATGGGGTCACCCAACTCTATTTTGATCAAAATAAAAGTTTGCTTCTTGAAGCCTCGGCTCAGGAGTTTCTTTGGCTCTTTTAAATTCCTGAGTAATGCTGGGACAATTGTGAGGCTAAGTGGGAAACTTTACATAACCTTTGCCAGTCTCTCCTTTGTAATGCTGCACAGGCTCAGCGCACAAGATGCAAAGCTGAATCCTGAGGCAGAAAAGTTTCCAGGAAATGGAGTTGTAAGATAAATCTTCCCTCAGAAGATGTGGGTGAAAGGAAGACTGGAATGGCTTCCCTCCAGCGGGAGAGAAGGGGGATTCTGGGAAAGGGAAAAGCAGAGAGACCTTTTGGGAGGCGGGGAGAATAAAGCGCCTCCAATCAGCCACCCATAACCTCCCCGGCTGCTCTTGGTGGGGGGGGAATCCCATTTATTCTTTACTTCCCTCAGGAGTCTTTCCCGCCCATTGTGGGGAATCCAGTGAATTTACGCAGAATCCCCCCAGAGGGCGCCCTCGGGTAGGAAAAGGAAACGCCAGGCGCTTCTCCTATTGGGCCACTGGAGGGCGAAGGTCACGGCTGGCTTTCCAGAGGAGGGTGCGAAGAGAGTGACGTCACAAGCGCTTGCCGCTCTAGGACCCCGCACTCGCTCACCTTAATCCTTTCGGCTCGGGAGGCGAAGGGGCTGCGAGAGCGTCTTGCGGAGGAGCCATTCACACGTGTCTTAGGTGGGGACAGGGGCTTTTCCCGTGCAAAGGGAGGCGGGGAAGGGAGAGACCCGTGCCCCGCTCAACTCTGGGTCCTATCCCGGGTCCCATGTTCCCCAGCTGTTCTCTCCATGCAGGGGGAAGCGGAGTTTCAGAGCAGCAGCAGAACCGGGGATCCCAGGAAGTCGGCGGCCCCTCCAGCTGCCTCCTTCCCGGCCCTCCCCGAGGAGACCTCGCCCCTGCGCTTGGCTGACCCGGTTGGGCTCCGAGCAAGTTGTGTGAGTGATGTACAGTGTCTAAATTCTAGGTCCAAACCAGCAATTAAGGAGAAACTTCCTGACACGGAGGACAATTAACCAGTGGAACAGAATAAGAATAAGAAAGTTGGAGGTCATCTAGTCCAATCCCCTGCTCAGGCAGAAAACCCCTTTATCATTTCAGACAAATGGCTGCCCAGTCTCTTCTTAAAGACTTCCAGTGTTGGAGCATTCACTGCTTCTGGAGGCCGGTTGTTCCACTGGTTAATTGTTCTAATGGTCAGGAAGTTTCTCCTTAGTTCTAGGTTGCTTCTCTCTTTGGTTAGTTTCCACCCGTTGCTTCTTGTCCTGCCTTCAGGTGCTTTGGAAAATAGCTTGACTCCCTTTTCTTTGTGGCAGCCCCTGAGATATTGGAACACTGCTATCATGTCCCCCCTCGTCCTTCTCTTCGTTAAACTAGACGTACCCAATTCCAGCAACCGTTTTTCATATGTTTTAGCCTCCAGTCCCCTAATCATCTTTGTTGCTCCTCTCTGTACTCTTTCTAGAGTCTCAGCATCTTTTTTACATCATGGTGACCAAAACTGGATGCAGTATTCCAAGTGTGGCCTTACCAAGGCATTGTAAAGTGATATTAACACTTCACGTGATCTTGATTCTATCCCTCTGTTAATGCAACCTAGCACTGTGTTGGCTTTTTTGGCAGCCGCAGCACACTGCTGACTCATATTTAAGTAATTGTCCACTAGGACTCCGAGATCCCTCTCACAGTTACTACTATTGAGCAAGGTACCACCTTTACCAGGGGTAGGCAACCTTGGCTCTTTTATGACACGTGGACTTCAACTTCCAGAATTGGCTCAGGAATTCTGGGAGTTGAAGTCCACGAGTCATAAAAGAGCCAAGGTTGCCTACCCCTGACCTATAGTATACCTGTACATTTGGTTTTTCTTGCCTAAATGTAGAACCTTACTTTTTTCACCATTGAATTTCATTTTGTTAGATAGCACCCAGTGTTCAAGTCTGTCCAGATCCTCCTGTATCTTAAGCCTTAAGAAGATTCGTACTACATGGAGGGGGCTTTGAGGTTGTGTTCAGAGTACAAAAATCCTCTTTATGTTGTGTGATGTCCAGAAATCGTGGGCGCTCCATCACTGGATGTTTTTAAGAAGAGACTGGACAGTCACTTGTCTGACATGGCATAGGTTCTACTGCTTGAGCAGGGGAGCTGGACTAGAAGACCTCCAAGGTCTTTTCCACCTCTATTCTATTCTAGTTTCTAATTCTTGGTATTTATTTATTTTTTTTCCATCTCAGATATACAAACTCGCAGCCATTTGTAGTCTTTGCAAGCCAAAATTTTCTCTTGGGCAAGAAGAGCTTGCAGTGATCAGCCCAGCAGCAGTGGAAATGGTCCTATGAATTAAAAGATTTTTGGAGATCCACAAAAGTCCTTGGACACATTTGGAGTTGCTCTATAGAACAGAGAAGGAATGGAGACATGACCTTTAGTAAATGAGGGAACTGGAAATGGCCCTTCAGCTGTTCAGCCTAGGAACTATGGGAGGCTCTGGGCAAGAACTGGGCAGAAGATCCTGGAGGAGGAAACCATCATCCGTTCAGAAGTTCAGTCCTGGAACTTCAAGACCATCCAATACCAGGAGGCTGATGGTCCCCGAGGACTTTGCAGCCGACTCTATACGTTTTGTAGGCAATGGCTTAGACCAGAAAAGCACACCAAAGCCCAGATGCTGGACCTGGTTCTTCTGGAACAGCTCCTGACCCTTCTGCCCCCAGAGATGGAGAGCTGGGTGAGGGAGTGTGGAGTAGAGACCAGCTCCCAGGCAGTGGCCCTGGCGGAAGGCTTCCTCCTGAGCCAGGCAAAGGAGCAGAAGGAGCATGTCGAGTTACAGGTGAGTGACCTTCTTCTCAGGAGTCTAGAAGGGCTTTGAAGAAAATAAAAACTTTGAATTCTTCGCCTTCCAGACTCCTCTGGCATTCATACTACATGGAAGTGTATTTTGGGGGCTTTGAGGTTGTGTTCAGAGTACAAAAATCCTCTTCATGTTGTGTGATGTCCATAAATTATTATTCTTCCTCCTATTTCAAGTCCTTCGCTGTGGAGATCAGAGATCCTGAAGGAAGGAGGAATCCATCAAATCTCTCTGAGGATCTGTTGTTCAAGAGGGTACCTCAGGAAGATTTAAGCCAGGACACCATGGAAGGTAATCGAAGGTCCGTCCATTCCCCAGAGAGATCCCAGCTATCTTACCTGGTCTATGTCTTCTCTTCTGTAGAATACATCCTTCTATTTTGTTACTGATTATGAATGTCTTCCTCACAGGGAAACATAGAATGGAGTTTTCTGGTCTTTCTGGTGGAGCTGAAACAGTGGTTGAACCTCCAAATGAAGTAAGTGGGGGACGTTTACTAGATTTGTATTCTCTCTTGTCTTCAGTAAGTCAAGCTGGTGGGTGTACAGAGTACTCTATTTTTCAATTGCCCCCACCCCCGCTATTGTTTGGGCTGTGTTATTTCGTATTTCGCAGCAATGTGGAAAGGAGAATAGCAGGCTCACGTTGCCCTCAGCAGGCTAGTTTTCTCTGAAGACTCTTGTTGGGACACAATGGTTTGTCATTTCTATCCAGAGATTCTGTTTAGGATTTTTTTTTAACACCACTAGTTAACTTATTCTGCTGGGTACTCTTCCTACTATTCGTTTACAAGAAGTAATTTTTGAAAAAAATTCTTCAAGAAATGAGAGTGAAAGAATACAGTAATCACATCACAGTGGTAGCAGACCCATGCTTTTTATTATCCTTTGACCTGGAATTGTACAAGGCGAATCAAAAATAACTAAAGGGTCACACTGTGACATTGTTTGTAACCAGTGATTAAAAAATAGGTTCATCAGATTAGAAGATAATGCAGACTATTAAAATCCAATAACAGTGGCCAGATGGAAAAGTCTCTACGTAAAAATGATTTTGAAGGAGCACATAATCAAGGCAGTACTGGCTTTGAAAGCAATTTCTGATCCTCTGATTTGTGCCAGGATTTGGACACCAAGTAATCCAGCTCTTGAAAGGCTGAGGAATGCCCTTTCTGGGGAATTTTCTCTGTTTTGTCTTCTCCTATCTCCCCTAAACCTTAAATTCACATCAAGCACAGCTGTTTAAATTAGCAGATACCTTTGCTTTGGGAATTTGTGAACAATGGAATAAACCACGCAAATGTGTCTTGGTCTTTTTTGTTTTTCCTTGTTCAGGACGGTCTTGTGTCCTTTGAGGAGGTGGCTGTGTATTTTTCTGAGGAGGAGTGGTCTCAGTTGGATCCTGACCAAAAAGCCCTTCATTGCAAAGTCATGCTGGAAAATCATAGGAATGTGGCCTCTCTGGGTAAGAGTTTGCTACTCTCTAATAGAGTGTTTGGGAAGACATTCTGTAGTTAGATGCCATCAGTTATGTTTTATTTAAAAAAAAGTCTCCATGCAGTGTCATCTCTTCAGACAGAGAAGGAAAACATTTGGCCTTCTCCTGCTCCAAGACAGAACGAGGTTAGGATACTTGCCCATGGACAAAAAGTTTGATCTGATAATAGCATGTTGAGAGAAAACAAATCAGAGTGATCAGAGTATTTCATAAGATAGTTTTAGTTCCATTTATTTTCAATGGAAACATGCTCCTGGCATGCTCCTGCATAGAGGGGACAATAGAGCATAACGTGTTCCAACGAATTTGCTGTGAGACTGAGATATCTGGCTGGTTGGAGAGGGTGTGCAGAGTGGGTCAAGAAGATGTTTTTCGGTGAGTCTGAGTAGTCAACTTGCAGCTCTAAATCAATAGCCCCCATCTAAGATCAGTTAGAACCTGTTTGTAGCACATTGAAGTGATGGTTGGCTATGAAGAGCCATAGAGTTGTAATTTGGTATGTATTGCTTGGCTTCTAGAGTACCGGAATTTGTCAGTCATCTTTAGAGGAGTCAAACCGAGTGGAAAGAAAAGGATTTTTAGCAGTGGAAGAAGATATAAGATATCAAGTTAGGCATTTTGGACATAGCAAGCCCGTATGTTTCACCACCGTTGTATTAAATGTTGCTTTTTCCATTGCAAACATAGTATTGAGAGTTAATAGAAGTACCCTGATTTTTTTTTTCTGTGTAGCTATGTGATTTTGGCAAGAGAAAAAGAATAGTAAAGAGAAGGCAGTTTGGATAGAAGAAAGCTAAAAATTGTTTTAGCTTTCACAGGTCTCTGCTGAAATTAACCCACTGTAATAAATGTTAGTGTCTAGGTTCTGATAGACGAGACGAAACAAACCAGAACTCCGAGGCTAGAGATTTCCTCAGAGAACATGTTTATTGGTTACATCATATCGGCACAGTCAAAAGTGAAACCAAGTCTGACATCCCTTTGAAGGAGAAACACTATTACAAAATTAAACGTCCCACCCTATTGCTACGCAATCAGCTACGTAGATCCCAATAGAATAGTTTGGCGGGCTTTATAATCAAATGCTCATGCCCCCCCCCGCACCTAACCGACGGAAATCACCTTGGTTCCCACGGGACAGTGAAATGTTTAGACTAGCAGAAATCCTCTGCACCCCCCTCCCATTCTTGTGGCAACCTAGAACAAGCAAGATGGTTGCAGCCAGGTTAATTGTAATGTTGACAGTCGGACTTCCCCCCCTTAGGAAGAAAGCAAGTCCTTTAAAGGAAACAAAATTACAGGTTAGGAATTCCTCCTGAGCTTTTGAGGTTGCTTGTTATAGAATTTTTTTATTAATCTGTCTGCCTTGACATCAGTATGAATGAAAGCCCCTGGGTAGACCCAATTGGTTTTACAAACTCCCTCCAGAATTTTGCAGTAAACTGAACCCTCCTATCCAATATAATCCTTTTTGGAGCTACATGGAGTTGATAGATGTGTTTTTAAAATAACCTGGCTAGCTTTTGGGCAGATGGGAGTCCTGAACAAGTGATGAAATGAGCTTGCTTTGTAAAAAGATCAGTGACGGTCCAGATCACTGTGCTTCCCCTGCTCTCGGTAATTCCACAATAAAATCCATGGCTATCTCCTCCCAGGATTGGGAAGGATCAGCCAGTAGTTGAAATAGACCAGGAGGTTTTCCAGGGCACTTTTTCATAGCTGCACAGGTAGCACAGCTTTTCACATAACTTTCAATGTCTTTTTTTCATGCCTGGCCACCAAAAAGGGCGCTGCACCAAATGCAAAGTTTTTAGAAAGCCAAAATGACCGGCTGGTTTTGTATCATGACTGCGTTAAGGGGCTTGAATTCTGAGGGATACCCGAAGGTATAGTTTTGAACCCTTCCAGGCTAGTCCATCTCAAAAAGTCAATAGCGGTCTATTGTCTCTGAACCAGGGGTCTGTTTTTAATTCCTCTTTTGAGTTTTTGAGTTAGTTGAATATAAGGCTCGTCAGATTTTCTCTGTGTTTGCCCTCTCATGGTTACTTGAGAGGCTGATTGTGGTTGAGGAATGATGGAATTAATAATTTCCTCCCGGCGGCTTTTATATTGGGGCATTCTAGACAAAGCATCTGCCAGGAAGTTGTTGTCGTGCAGGAAGACAAGCTAATTTGAGGGCTAATCCTCAATTTCCATCTGTCCTGTTTGCCATCGTTCGCTCCCTAGAGACTAAAATGGAGGATCTGAAACTTGAGCTGGCCACGAACAAGGAGTGTATATTGGAGGTGATGACCCTTTGAGAGCTGTATATAACAAAATTTCATTTTGATGTATGCCGATTGGTGTACATTCAAAGTGACAATAAAATAACAACAACAAGAACAATAATTGTCGATAAGAAAGACAAAAAAGTCTGGATAGTGGACGTGGCAGTGCCTGGAGACAGCAGAATAGACGAGAAAGAACTGGAGAAGATAACAAAATACAAAGACATAGAAATAGAAAGACTGTGGCAAAGGCAAGCAAGGGTAGTACCAATAGTCATAGGCGCCTTGGGTGCAATCCCAAAACAAGTGGAGCACCACTTGAACACCGTTGGCATTGACAAATTCGCCATTAGTCAATTGCAAAAGACGGCCTTACTAGGAACTGCTTCCATTGCTTCCATTACAGACGATATCTGTAATACCATCAAACATCCACATCTGCCTATCCCAGGTCCTTGGTAAGGACTCGATAGGTAGACAAAAATGCCAAATCCAGTCTGAACATCTGGCTGACTGTGCGATGATCAATAATTATTATCATTATTGTTGTTGTTGTTGTTGTTGTTGTTGTTGTTGTTATTATTATTATTATTATTATTATTATTATTATTATTATTATTATTATTATAGTTGACAGGCTATCTCCTATTACTTCCCTGGATATTTCCTTTGATTATTGCTTAAGTGTGAGCTGAGTCTGGATAAGAACTGAATACATATGGATAATTGTAGAGAAAGAGATATCTTCTAGATATTTCCCAGGCTTTTATGGCTTATGAATATAGAAATTATAATTTCTATAACATGTATTTGCAATATATTGGAATTTCACAAAAAATTAAGAAAATTCATATGGCTTCCTACAATTTGATGTTTTTCACTAACCCTTTTTCTTTTCCTTTGAAGGTACTAATGGGCAGCAGAATCAAGATTCCTGTGAATTGTTTCCAGTAATCATTGCTGGAGATGGAACGGAGAAATCTGCAATTCGAAAGAAAGTACAAAGACATGAAAGAAACCAGTTAAATAATTGGAATCAGGAAAGCTCATCTTCCATTGATGCTTCAATGCAAGGCTTTCTTGCCCAGCAAGGGAATATAAAGGAATATATTAGAAAAAAAATGAAACTAATCAAAGCTAAATTACATGTCGATGGACACTATCCCATCCAAAAGAAACAAGATGATGTAAACAGACACAATGGAAAAAATTACAATGGGTTTTTCACTCTTTCTCTTGGAAATAGGTCCCTTATACCTCAAAAAGGGATCCACACAGAAGAGAAGACTTTTGAATGTGTGGAATGTGGAAAATGCTTCAGAACAAGCAGTCATCTTACTTTCCATAAAATGATTCACACAGGACAAAAGCCATATAAATGCATGAAATGTGGAAACACCTTTGCTGACAAAAGTAAATTTGCGATCCATAAAAGAATTCATACAAGAGAGAAGCCCTATAAATGCACAGTGTGTGGAAAGATCTTTGCTCATAGAAGTCAACTTACTAAATATAACAGAAGCCACACAGGGGAAAAGCCACGTAGTTGCAAGCAGTGTGGAAACTGGCTCAAAACAACATGTTCTCCTATTCTCCATGAAAGGATCCACCCAAGGCAGAAGGCATTTAAATGTGTGCAATGTGGAAAGGTGTTTTGGACGAATTATCAACTTACCCTCCATAAAAGGATCCACACAGGAGAGAAGCCATATAAATGCTTGGAGTGTGGAAAGACCTTTGCTCAGAGCACTCATCTTAATTCCCATAAGAAGATCCATACAGGGGAGAAGCCTTATAAATGCATGGACTGTGGGAAGGCCTTTGCTATGAGGACTAAACTTACAATCCATAAAAAGATCCACACAGGGGAGAAACCACATAAATGCATGGACTGTGGGAAGGCCTTTGCTTATAGAAGTGGACTTACTAAACATAATTGGATCCACATAGGGGAGAAGGCATATAAATGCTCCGGGTGTGGAAAGACTTTTGCTCATAGCAGTAGTCTTATTTCTCATAACATGATCCACACAGGAGAAAAGCCATATAGTTGCAAGGAGTGTGGAAAGTGGCTCAAAACAAAATGTTCCCTTGTACACCATGAAATGATCCACACAAACCAGAAGGCGTTTATATGTATGCAATGTGGAAAGAGCTTTCGGAGAAATTGTAATCTTACAATCCATAAAAAGATCCACACAGGGGAGAAGCCATTTAAATGCAGGGAGTGTGGAAAGACTTTTACTCGTAGCGGCAATCTTATTTGTCATAAAAGGATCCACACAGGAGAAACACCATATAGTTGCAAGGAGTGTGGAAAGTGGTTCAAAACAAAATCTTCCCTTACACACCATGAAATGATCCACACAAGGCAAAAGACATTTAAATGTATGCAATGTGGAAAGACCTTTTGGACGAATTACCAACTTACCCGTCATAAAAAGATCCACACAAAGGAGAAGCCATATAAATGCTTGGAGTGTGGAAAGACCTTTGCTCAGAGCACTCATCTTAATACCCATAACAGGATCCACACAGGGGAGAAGCCATATAAATGCATGGAGTGTGGAAAGACCTTTGCTCATAGCAGTAGTCTTATTTCTCATAAAACGATCCACACAGAGGAAAAGCCCTATAGTTGCAAGGAATGTGGAAAGTGGCTCAAAACAAAATCTTCCCTTATACGCCATGAAATGATCCACACAAACCAGAAGGCGTTTATATGTGAACAATGTGGAAAGGGCTTTCGGAGGAATTATGATCTTACTATCCATAAAAGAATCCACACAGGGGAGAAGCCATATAAATGCACAGAATGTGGAAAGACCTTTGCTCAGATCGGTGGTCTTATTTCCCATAAAAGGATCCACACAGGAGAGAAGCCATATAAATGCACGGAGTGTGGAAAGACCTTTGCTCAGAGCAGTAGTCTTATTTCTCATAAAACGATCCACACAAGGGAAAAGCCCTATATTTGCAAGGAGTGTGGAAAGTGGTTCAAAACAAAATCTTCCCTTACACGCCATGAAATGATCCACAAGGCGTTTATATGTGTACAATGTGGAAAGGGCTTTCGGGGGAATTATGATCTTGCCATCCATAAAAGAATCCACATTTATATGGGATAAGCCATATAAATGCACAGAATGTGGAAAGACCTTTGCTCAGATCAGTGGTCTTATTTCCCATAAAAGGATCCACACGAGAGAAGCCCTATAAATGCATACAGTGTGGAATGAGCGTCAGTTTGTGTGATTGTCTTACTTGCCATAAAAGGATTCACAGAGATGCCATATAAAATTGTGGAATATGGAAAGGGTTTCTACAAAAATAGATCACTTACATAAAAAGACCTACACAGTAGAAAATCCTTATAAAAGCATCAAGTTTGGAAAGATCTTTACTCAGACCAGTCATCTTGCTTCCCATAGAAGGATCCACATGGGAGAGGGTGTAGAAATGTGTGAAGTGTGGGGAAAAGCTTCAATCATAATAGTTCCCTTACATATCATAAAAGAATCCATACAGAACAGAAATTATATAAATATGAGTAGCTTGGGAAGAGTTTCAGGAGGAGCAATGTCCTAATTTTTCAATAAACATATATTTGAGTGAGAATCATGGTTAAATCTATGCATTTTCTATTTGTGTGTAATGATCTAGGGAAGGTTAAAGAAAAATGGACCAAGCCCTCGTGGCAGCCTGAGAGATAAAGACTAACAAAAAAACAATTAGCATACGATGTTTTATTTATGAATCTCAGTTTTTTTAAAGTAGTGTCATTTGAAGGGATGGATGGATGGATGGAAAGAATGGAATCAGAATAGAGCTGGAAGGGACCTTGGAGGTCCAGCCCCCTGCTCCAGCAAGAAACCCTATAGAACAGACATGTCAAATACAAGGCCTAGGGCAGTGGTGGTGAACCTTTTAGAGACCGAGTGCCCAAACTGCAAACCAAAACCCACTTATGCATCGCAGGGTGCCGGGTAGGTGTGGCCCACTGGATGGGTATGGCTATGGCAGTCACGGCAGACGGGGGGCGTGGCCAGGGTAGGCGTGGCCACCTTGATGTTGCTCCTGGAGATGGATGCCTGTGGGAGCCGGGCCGGGTTGGGGGAGATCCAGGGGGTTCCTGACAGTTTGGGTGGTAGACAGGAGGCTCGTCCTGCAGGGTGAGGTGAGGTGAGGGAGGGGGCAGGGTGGGGATTAGGGTTAGGACGCTGCTGCTTTCCCCCCAGGACGGAGTGCCCTGCCGTGGTCCAGCAACAGCAGCAAAGCTTGTCCTTCCCACTCAAGCGGCCACCAGCGGCTCCTGGGCTCCATCTGAGTTGAAGAAAGCGGAGGCGCAACAGCTGGATTGCTGTCAATAAGGCGGGTGCACACGAGTGAGCAATGCATCCAGCTCTTATTGTTTGAGAGCAATCCTGCTGCTGTGCCTCTGCTTTCAACTTGGATGGAGCCGAGGTACCCAAGCTGCTGCACCGCCTGCCTCCCTCTCCCCCTGCCCCCTGTGCCTCAGGTCGGCGCAACCAGCAGCTTGCTCAGGTCCATTAGGCTGCTGCCGCCAAGGAGAAGAGTGGTGAAGTTTTGAGCCAGCCAGCTGGGGAGGCAAGGAGTAAGTCAGGGGATGGTGGCTGGCTGGCTGAAGAGGAGAAATAATGGCTGCTTGGGGTGGGGATTTGCCAAGCCTCAGGGCAGCAGCATTGGCAGCTCCCCCCACCCAGCCCATTTCCCCGGCTCCATTATCAGCAGCAGCTCCCTCAGCGACCGCCCCACGACCCTCAACGTCAAGTTTCCATTGCACAAGCTTCCTGGAACTAAGGAGAAGTGCAGTTACTGAGCCGCCAGGCGGGTCTGGTGCGGGCTGTTGCCTTCCGCTTTTCCTGCTGCGGCATTGGCTGCTGGTGTTGCCCTCCTGAGAGGAGGGTGCATTGATTGGTTGGTGGCCACGCCACAAATAGGGATTGATCATCCCCCAAACCCCACCACTGTCAAAGGAGCAGGAGGAATGGGGAGAAAAAAGGGAAATTGGCTGAGCCGGCTAGGCACCAAAGCCCCGCCGAAAAAAGTGGAGTCTCTTTGCAAGCCTGCTTAGCCTGCATCAGCCTTGCTCTCCACAGCACGCTGCAGCTGATCTGAAGCATGGAGAGCACGGCGCACAGACTCCACTGTTTTCAACGGCACTTCTGATCAGCTGCAGCAACCCTAACCCCATCATTGTCAAAGGAAAAAAGCAGAGTCTGTGTGCGCTCCTGCCTTGCCCGTATCAACCAGCTGCAGCACACCATGGAAAGCCTGATTGCAGCTGATCAGAAGTGAGGGAAACGCCGGTGGCAGCAAGCAATCCATGCAGGGGTTGGGGGGGGGAACGCTGGCGGCAGCAAGGCAATCCGTGTGTGGAGGGAAATACCAGCGGAAGCAAGCGATCCGTGCAGGGGGGTGGGTGGGAAACGCCAGCAGCAGCAAGGCAATCCGTATGGGGAGGGAAACGCTGGCGGCAGCAAGCGATCCGTGCAGGGGGTAGGAGGGAAAACGCCGGCAGCAAGCAATCCTTGCAAGGGATCTTGAGCTCTTGAGCTCAACACCTCTTTCTTTGCACCGCGAGCGAAAGCGCTAGCACACATGGAGAGGGGGAGGGGAGCAGCCCAGCCCTGCCTCCCTCGGCGATGGCGCGCGCGCCCACAGGGATGGCTCTGCGTGCCACCTGTGGCACGCGTGCCATAGGTTTGCCACCACTGTTCTAACTCAATACCTCTTTGCACAGACTCAGTAGCACTTTCTTCACATTGGCTGACTGAGTTACCACATGACTCTTCCTGCTCATGAATATTCCAACACTCCTCCCTTCATGACAGGAAGAGACATCAGACCTATTGACTTAATACATTTTCCATAGTGAATACCACCCAATGGTTTAGTCATCATGTGTGCCAAATTATCCTCAGAAGAACAATGATGTAAACTAATCAATTTTCCTTTTACAGCTTCCCTGACATTACAATACTTAATGTCTACATGTTTACTTCTGTTCTTCACCCTGTCACCAGTTGCCATTTTTATACAGGCAGCATTGTCTTCAAATACCTTTACAGATTCTTTTACATTAATATTTAAATCTTGCAACAAC